AAAGCAGTCATATCTGATTACATTTTCTTTGTGTGTTTAGTGTGAAAGACATCCACTGTTGTTTCATGACAAGGTCGCAAGTCAAAGTCACAGTATCCAATGCTGAAACGACCCTGCAGAAATTAACAGAATTGACATGGTGAGCAAATACTGTAGAAGAGCTCATTCTAAGTTAATTAAAGAGGTCAAAGCATTTTTACCTGCGGTTTCTTAAAATAATCAAGACCCCTTCCAATCTTAATCATCCATCCATTGTTGAATCTGTTTTAAAAATTCACAAATTTGAATACTATGAGTATGTTGAATAAAAAAATAGTTACATCCACATGATGCACAAGCTTCTTGTTTCAATCACAATTATTTCCTAGTGTCACTGATACCTGTGTCAACCATAGAAGACACAGTATAAAGAGACAACTAATATTATGTTCACAATTAGACAACATGAAACTATGGAGGCTGATTTTATCCAGTGAGGGCCATTGCCTTCTACTTTGTTAACCACAGCTGTAATTAATAATTGTCTCAAAAGTTAGGGTTAAACAGTTTGACTTCCAATAACTGGAATTTGATAACTTTTTACATCCCGCACCTGATTTCTCGATCATGTATTGAAGATGAAAATTCAATATTCAGTGTTACTCCATAATTTCTTAATGACTGTTGTATTTCTTCCAAGCCACTCATCTGCTGACTCCTCCCACTACCCTGTAAAAAATAAAAATAATGTGGTGAGGGTTTTTTTTGTTCGTTTGTTTTTTAGTATATATTCACTTCTGGTCACCTCTTCCTAAACTCACCAACAAAAACTTTTACAATCAAAGTAGATTTGCAGTTTCAAAGACAGGATAAAGAGCAGACAGATTACAGGTACATTTGCTAAGGGATGTGGAGGAGGAGCTTACTCTCAGCCCTCTGCAACTAGATATGAATTACTATTAAAAATACGTGCAGTAATAGTTTAAATAAATGCAGTGCTAGTTTGAGAGATTACAGCTCGTTAAAGCCTCTAAAATGACAACTAAATACAGCTGTTGGAAGAGCAAAAAACCCCATATCTCCATAGATGCTTTGCTTTTGATGACATTTTCCACAACAAAACTTTCACAGAAACATCTTTTCGATTTAAGACTCTGCTTACCAAGAATTTGTTAGAGTTATCAGAAAACTCTGAACTTACAAAATTACTTATGTTCAACTATCACATTCTTATTTTTCTCTTAAATCTGAGTTTTCTGCTGAAATCATCAGAGACTGAGTCTAACAAGTTCTGGTAAGTAAGAACAAGTCTATTTTTTTTTTTTTTGCATGTGGCATCGCCTGCCACATCAGTAGAAACCAAAATCTAGACACTTACCTCATCATAGGAAGTGAGGAGGTGGATTGTTTTCACTTTGCACGGCCCCTTAATTAGCATCTCACAGAATCGTAGAAAGTTATACAACTGTAAAAGTTTTATTTAATTTAGTAACTTGGAATGTCTCTAGTAGCTACATCTGTATTAGTTACACCGAGTATCTACTTGCCTGATGAACGTGCCTAATGTATGGGTCCTCCACCCAAACTTCAGAAACAACCTCAGTAAGGTACTCATGGAAAAGCTTTTCGTAGCCAAAACCCATTGCGTTTTCCTCTATCCTGATTTGCTTATGGTATTTGCCATCTGAAAAGAAAGTAGGTCTCTGTTTAAGTAAAGGTCAGGACATAATTTCTGTGTTAAAACACCTCACCCATCAAACATTTGCAAAAGAATAGACATTTAAAAGCGAACGGGTACATCACAGCTCACAGAATCACAGAATGGGTCAGGTTGGAAGGGACCACAGTGGGTCATCTGGTCCAGCTTCCCTGCTTAAGCAGGGTCATCCCAGAGCACATGGTCCAGGATTGTGTCCAGACAGTTCTTCACTATCTCCAGTGAGGGAGACTCCACAACCCCTCTGGACAGCCTCTTCCAGAGCTTGATCACCCACACAATAAAGTTCTTCCTCATATTCAGGTGGAACTTCCTGGGCATTGGTTTCTGCCCATTGCCTCATGTCCTATTGCTGGGCATCACTGAGAAGGGCCTGGCTCCATCCTCTTGGCACCCTCCGTTTAGATTTTTATACATACCTTGTTTCTCTTTCTCGATGTGTTTTTTAATGTCTTCGGCTCTGGTCATGTACTCGGAGATCTTCTGCCGGTAGCGGTGCTTTTTTGCCTCATCCTTCGTGGCTGTAACCCATAAAAGCACAGGAGCCATTAAAAAACTCTCCCCAGCACTTCCTGGCCCCGCTCTTCTGGGGAGACACCGCCAGCTGTCCCTCTGTTCTTCCCCGTATGTCGACGGCCCTCTGCGCCCGACACAGCTCGAGTGTTCCCGGAACCGCCCCCGACCCCTGAGGCCGCGGCGCCCCCTCGCCCGGTACCTTTCACCACCTGCAGCAGGAGATCGATGCCCTCCTGGTAACACACCAGTGACTCCTGGAACCGAGATGCCACGTCCAGCTCCACCGCCCGCTTCACCGTCTCTGCCCCGGCCCGCTCCAGCGCGGCGGTGCCATTGCCTCCCGACCGCGACATGGACGGGGACCGGGGCCGGGACGGCTACCGGGAAAGGGCAGGGAGCTGAGGGGGACAATGGAGAGAGGCGGTGTCGCACCCTTGTCCTTCCGCCCGCTCGGAACTCAAGTGCAGCGGCGCTGGTGTCCGGCCGAAAGAAGCGGTGCGCACCGTAATGGCCGCCGGGGCGGGCCGGGCGGGCCTGGGGCTCGCAGGAGCCGGGAGGGTGAGAATGGGGGGATCTGGGGCGGGATCCAGGTGGGGATCGGGGGTGTTCTAGGGCGGGATCCAGGTGGGGATCGGGGGGGATCTGAGGCGGGATCCGGGCTAGAGCTGGGGCACGCAGCCGCTGAGAAGGTGGGGATCCAGGTGGGGATCTGGGCTGGGACTCGCAGTCGCCTGGGAGGTTGGGATGCGTGTAGGGATCCGCGCGGGGAATGGGGCTTGTGGCTGCGTCGTCTGTTTGCGAGTATTCAGAGCTGCAAGGAAAGTGCAGACGAGTTGTGCCCTCCTCTCTTTGCAGCTGCTGGGAAAGAGGATGGAGGGGATGGCGTCCCCAGCCTGGGCTCGCTGCCTCTTTACCAGGTCGAGAATTCCAGACTCGGTATGTGCTTCAGTAATTGAGAAACTGAAAAAACGGGTGTTAGCTTGCTAAATTTTGTGTTTGCTGCGGTATGACAGATTTCCAGAGATTCTGTGGGATGAGTGAGTTCACAGTGAAGAACTGGCTGAAAGGCAGAGCCCAGAGGGTTGCAGTGGATGGGGTCTGACTGGTGACAGGGCAACAGCGATGTTTCTCAGGCTTCAGTTCTAGGGCCAGGTCTGTTCAGAATATTTATCAATGATCTGGATGCAAGAGTTGAATGCACCATTAACAAGTTTGCAGAGGGGTCTAGACAGATTGGAACATTGGACAATCATCAGTGGCATGAAATTTAGCAAGAACAAATGCCAGATACTGCACCTGGTACCGAGTGATACGGGGCACAGGTATAAATGGGGACAAGAGCGGCTGGAGAGCAGCCCTGAAGAAAGGGATCTGGGGGAGCTGGTGGGCAACAACTCAACAGGAGTCAGCAGGGAAGGCGGGCAGCCAGGGGGGCAAACCCCATCCTGGAGGGCATCAAACACAGCACAGCCAGACAGTCAAAGGCGGTGATTGTCCCACTGTATTCAGCATTGGTACAGCCTCACCTCCAGTGCTGTGTGCAGTTTGTGTGAGCCCCCCCAATTTAAGAAGGACATGAAGGTCTTTGAATGCATCCAGAGAAGGGCAACAGAGCTGGTGACAGGGCTGGAAGGCATGTCCTGAGAGGAGCAGCTGAGGACTCTGGCTTTGTCTGGTTCAGAGAGAAGGAGGCTCAGAGGTGACCTCACTGCTCTCTGCAGCTTCCTGAGGGGAAGCAGAGAGGGAGGTGCTGAGCTGTTCTTGAGATCCAGTGACAGTGTGCATGGGAATGGCTTAGACCTGCATCAGGGCAGGTTCAAACTGGACATCAGGAAGCACTTCTTTACTGAGAGGGTGGTCAAACACTGGAACAGGTTTTCTAGAGAGGTGTTCAGCTGCCCAAGCCTGTCAGTGTTTAAGAGGCATTTGGACAATACCTTAATAATGTTTTAACTTTTGGTCCACCCTGAAGTGATCAGGAAATGGACTAGATGATTGTTGGTAAGTCCCTTCCAAATGAAATATTTTGTCCAATAAATAATTAAACCAAAATGATGGGAAGTTTGACTTGCACTTTACATTTTTACATTTAGATTTTTGCAAGATACCATCTTGTGTCAGTTCATACTTTTCCTTAAAAGCATTCTTAAAGCCTGTGGAAAAACGTGCCATGCAGAGGCTGAGCACGGGCTCCCTGAGGAGATGCACATGAATTAGGTGTTGTGCTGGTCCGGTGTTGTCCATGTGTTTCTATGAGTCACTATCACCAAACCATTATAAAGATATATTTGACTTCATGTTATAAAAGCTAAATTTTATTTCACTTTGTTGGTACTTTGACTGCCTGAAAAGAAAAACATGTAAGAATATTTACCAAGGTTGAAGTATGTTTTAGAGAGTAGCTGACTATACTAAAAATTATCAGATATTTAGGGAAAAAACTTCTGGTTTTGTGAACTTTTCATTCTAGGTATTTCAGCCACGGCCTGGAGATCATGAGAAGTATGGAGGTGACCCTGAGCAGCCCCACAAAATCCATGTTATTACTAGAATAAAAAGTGTCATTGGTCGCCCATATTGGGAAAAGAAGATAATACGTGACCTTGGGCTGGATAAAGTATGATTGTTGTTCTTTGTACTTGTTGTATACAACAGAAATGAAGCATTAAGGTGGTTGGTTTTTTAAGGACCTCAATTTTGCAGTCACAAAACATAATTACATTTATAGCAGCTGAGGGGAATGTTCATGGCAAATACGCTTTCAAAATATCCCTCTATGGTATTGTGCTCCGTGCCTGAGAACTTCACCCTGAGAATTCTGCTAAAATAATAGAAATAGATTTGTAAATACTTTGAATTCAGTTTTCTCTGTGGGTCATGTTACTTAGATATTGCAGAAAGGCAGATAAGACTCATTTATCAATGAAAAGGCTTTGAAAGCCAAGACTCTAAGAGTTTGTATCAAAGATGCGTTTATCCAAGCTTTTCAGGCTAGCTGCACATTGTGCAAAGATTCATCTAGTCAGTGTTATATTACAGAGAATGTGTGCTTGATCCATTTAAGATGTAACTGAAACAAGCAGTTTTGCTCCTAAATTCCTGTATTTACATTTATAGTGTTTTTAACAGCTGGAAGAAAAATGTATTGATAACGGAATGGGAATAAAGCTGAAATTGTCATTTTACTGGAATCAAGTTTGATCCAGTTTTGATTTCATATTTTTATGTTCGTGATGCATGATGGTTCTCTAAATCTTACATTTGCAATTGCGGTTTATATTTTTACCGATAGTGTGAAAAGTTCAGTGAACAGAGATTTGGGATTTGACAAAGCATTTGTAAAACCCGTTTTATCCTTTATGTAGGCGCATCAGCCAAGACTGCACAAAAATATCCCTTCTGTGAATTCCAGACTGAAAGTTATTAAACATCTGATAAGGTTTGTTAATTATTTGTTTATTTATTTGTTAATTTGGAATATTTAATGTAACTCTCTTCTAGTCACAGGACTTCACTAAGCAAACTCTTTTACCTGTAGAATAAAGCCACTGAAACTACCCTACGGGTTGCCAACAGAAGAGGAAATACCCAGCACCTTTCTTACAAGCAACGGAGAGCTTGTCATTAAACGGCGTCTGAAACCTGTGGAGCAGAAAGAAATTAAGTCATAAGGTGTGCTGGTTGGATTTAGATTTTATAAAATAAATACTTTAAATTCTGACTTAAGAGTTTGTGTATGAAATGTAAGAAAATTCTTAACCCTGTCTGGTATGAGTGGCAGAGGTGACACTTAAAGAATTGTACGTGTACAGATAGGAAATTCAATGTTGTTAATAGTTGCCTGAAATATTAAATGAATTATAGGCCGTCTGTCTTTGTGTTTTAATTTTGTGACTAGATTGCTGCAGTTTATGGCTAGCTGTAAGAGAACTTTATTTATAAAGTCAGATAAGCAGAGAAGTGAGTAGAATAGAGGTAGCTAATGATGTTGAGGATGTTTCCCAGCTAACAGTAAAAGTTTACAGTGATGATGCAGGACTTCACTTTCACTGCACAAAGGACAGAACTGGAATTGAAAAGCCCTCTGCTTAGTAGTCACAGGAGAATCGACTGGCTATCCACGGAGAGTGTCAGGCATTTGGATGACTTACCTTGGTTATTCAGATCTCAGGCTTGTTCCTTAGCAAAGAATCTCTCATCTAGCTTCTCTTGTAACTTAAAAAGTACATAAACTCTCCATTTGGACATAACAGGAGTTATTCATATCTTGGTACGTTGTATAATTTGTCTTCCAGGAAACATGCTATCTCACTTCATATATATTCCCTGATCCTAAATGTACAATAATAGCCTAAGAGCTGCAGTTTGTGTGAACGTTGATGCTTTTCCTGTTCTAAAATTGCAAACTTTAGAAGTCTGGAGCCCCTGAAGCATGCCTCTGACACGAGTTAGGAATTACGGGCTGCAAGCTTGTAAAAGACTACTCTGTGTGTAGTTTTATTTACAGTTTTAAGAATTGTGGCCAAAGTTAGCAAGCTGCTGCTGTATCAAATGATAAAGTAGTTTTCATTCCAGCAAGCCTAAATTCCGTGGTTTAAAGCACTGTGAGCCTCTCCACACTAGACACACCGAAAAGGAGTTAATCTTAATGACTGTGTGTTGTGAGAAGATCAGAGGGATACAGTCGCTGAAAATGAGTGTTTATCCTTTCCGCCTGCTTGCAGAGAAGGGTAAACACCAGTAGGAGTTCAAAGGAGTAGACAGACATATCAGTACAGGGAGATAAAAGCTGGAAGCACTGTGCCCAGAAGGAAAAGGGTAGGCTACAGTGGCATTGAAGAGCGTAATGGCCCCTACAGGCAGGCTGAAGGCAGAAATGAAAATTTCAGCTGAAGTAGAATAGCATGGAAGAAGTGAAGCAGATAAATGAATGATGCTTTTCTTCCCTCCCTCCCTCCCTCCTTCCTTCCAGCATCTGCACAGCGTCTTGTGCTGCAGTATGTTAGAACTGCAGTCTCTGCGAGGTGTTGATCACGTTCCCACGGGGAGGTGCTTAGTACAAGCTGGAATTTGAACCCTTTTGAAGGACGTGTGTAGTGCACCTAATGTGCAGGGCATGCTTGAAAGAGATGGCACAAGTACTAGGGCCCAGAAGATGATCTTTGGATCAAATGGATCTTGTTGCTGGTGGATAGCAAATAAGACTTGTGCCAGGATTGGAGTTCCAGAGCACCAGAGCCAGGATGGTTCAGCCTTACCAAGCACGTTTGAGTTCGGATCCACAGCACTGCAGGCTGGTGAGCCTCTGGCAGAGGATGCGCTGCCAGTTCCGTCCTACATGGTGTGTGTACGGATATGGATACGGACATGGATCTTTTGTTCATTGCACAGTACTGATGCTACAGCCCACAAAAGTACTGCAGGGTATTCCAGAGGGAATGTGTTAATGAACAGGCTTGCTTGGTACTGTGCAGGGCTTCAAAAGTGTGTGATAAACTACCTAAGTTAAAGCAGAGCTAATAAGTACAGAGAAGTGAACATAGGTAGTACCTGTTATTTCTGGGAAAGATTTAGGTACAGGAGATGCTTACAGATGTCTTTAATTGACAACCTGACAGTTTTAATGAAAAAAGAAATTGTATTTCCTTAAAATGTTCTGTTTGGATGTTTCTGAAATGGTGTTTCTTCCAAGGTCACAAATGTCATACAGTCAGTCTGCTATCCCAAACCTTCTCTGTATAAGCACACATTCTGTAAAGATTTTCTCAAGTCTAAAACCTGAACCAACAGGATTCATAAACACAGTGTACGTCCACATCCTTTCATTAATGAAGTTTTGTCAATGCTCTGTGTAGATCTTTATGAAGCACAGATAAGAGACACTGCCTTTTTGTGCAGGGAACAAACAGACTGACGTAAGGTGATCACAAAATTCGGGTTGGCAGGTACCTCGTAGGTCTCTAGTCTGACCTCCTGCTCAATGCAGGGCCAGTGCTGAGGTCAGACAAGGTTACTCAGTAGTTTATCCAGCTGGGTCTTGAAAACCTCTGACTCTTGAAGACCTCAGGACAGGGACAGCTCTCTGAATGGCCTGCACTGCTGTTTTGTACTGCTGTTAGACAGAGGTATTGGCAGATAAAATGCAAGGCAGATAAAATCTTGTTAAGCAGTGTTATAACTTTCATGCAGCATTAATCTGCTGCTTGAGAAACTGCAGGCACAGATGAAAACTCTGAATATTCTCCTGAAGTAAGCTAAAAAATGGCAAGAGATAAATCGCAGTTTGGATTATTAGCAGTGTTATCTTTTAAATTACTTTTTTAGCCTTAGCTGAAAAAAAACCCCATTGGAATCTTGTACTTTTTTCTGGCTTCACTGCTCCCCCCCATTTTTACTATTTCTGAGGGAGAAATCCAGGTTGTTTTTAATTAGAAGCAAAGTATGAATCAGTGACTCTAATCATTATTCAGAGATCTCAATATCCAATTCTCTTATAAAAATTGGCTCTTGCATCCACATTATTGACATAGTTGTGTGTTGTGCCAGTATCCATTTTGTTGTAGTTCTGGACGTTGTTAGCTTCTGCATTATCCCACCTGAAATGAGAGTGAAAGAAACACATAAATAGAGGTGCTACTTCATTAGTAAATAAGCAAACAAACAAAAATCACAACTGAACTGCACTGCTTTAGTCTATCCTCCCATTTCACCAGGATTGTTTGCCATAGTATTAACATTTCCAGCTCTTTTTGTCACAGAGGTATTCCTTTTGTGTTTTAACTTTGTGAAGAAATCATAATCTCCTCATTTACATCCAGACTTGGTGATCATTGTCCCCTTGCTGTATTTTTCTAATGTTAACATCTTCAGTTTTATGACTGTTTCCTTGTGTGCATATTCCTTCGTGCCTACCCACATTAATAACGTCAGACATGTTACTACTGTAGTTGGACTAAAGGGACCCACTGTAAGGACTGCGTCAGAGTAATCAGTGTTTAAGAATATAACTATGTTTCCTCTGGAGAGAACCAGACATTTTCAAAATTAGTGGGTTCCTCTCTCAGAGTTGCCAGGATGGGCAACCAGGATAGGTTGATTTGTAGATGGGTAGTAACATGAACAGAGGGACTGGGATGTGTTTAGTTTTCTTCAGTGCTTTATCGCGCTTGGCTTTACATGTGTGAAGTGTTTCAAAGCTGACAAAGCTGACCTCTACCTTTGAGGTCCTGTTCCTTTGTCCAAGCTGGGAATTTTTTCTGAATTTATAAATCTGCATAAAATCTCTGTGTCTTATGGTAAGTACTCTTCAGTGTCCCATGACCTGTCAATCTTACAGTACTGTTTGTCAGCCTGAAAGTGAGACAGCAGTATCAGCGTACCAGAAACCCCAACCCCACTACTTATTTATCCCACTATTTATCCAGAGATCTTCATTGCTTACAGGTTGCTTGTGTTCATTTTGATTCTTAATCTCATGATTTACCTCTTTTGTGACTGTATAGAGGGGAAGCAAGTGCAGCTCAAGGTGCAGGTAAAGCCAGCAGATGTGTGAAGGGCAGACTGTTGGGGCACTGAAGAGGAATTCCTGCCTCACTTCCTTGTCTTTCAGAGCCTTAAAAAACCAACACAGCTGCTGTTGTAAATGTGACAGTGTGCAGAAAGCAGCATGACTGCTGCTTTAGCATTTCCAGGTGCGAGGTGACTGCTCCTCTCCTCCCCAGCTGCATCAAGGGTGGGAAAATCTGTTTCTTCTAAGAATCTCCCCTGGATCTCTGCCCCAGTCCTTCTACTCCTGCTTCTCCTCCCCTTTATCCTCTTGTATGGGATAGTAAAGCAGAAGTCTGAGGGGGCCGGAGCTGTTACAAAAGCAGATCCCAATGTGTATGACAAATGTTTAGGAATTTTACGGATAAGGACACAACTTGGCAAACAAGTGAGGCACAAATGTAGGCATGAATAATGAAGCAAGATCCCCCACTAGCCAGGCCCCTGTGGTGCATGAAGTGTAAATAACCTGATGATGTGTAGCTGCAGCCTGCAGGCCTCCATGCTCAGCTAAAAAAACTGCTTTTTGAAACAAGACTTATTATCTAAATATGAAATAGGAACAGGTAATCTGTTCATTCCCAAGGGAGTGCTGGGAAGCAATCAGTGGTTTCACAGCGCAAAAGCAGTCTGCTCATGCCCTAACACTTACTGGGGTCCTTCCCAGGTTCTGGCAGCTGACAATCCGGTCAGTGTTGGCTTTAGTGTGGCTGCAGAGTTGGCTGAAAAGGCTTAGTGGATTGCCTTTCAACAGGGCCCCTGCTGCTCTTCTAATTCTGCTTCAGATGAAGGATGAGATTTGTGTTTTCAAGAAGGTTGACTATAACTGCACTAAACCAAATGTATTTCCAGGGTCACCCCAGCCGTCCTTCAGCACTGCCCCAGCATGTGACTCTTGAAAAATAATACCAGCAATCAATCACAACTTTTGCAATGTTGGCATGGTATTTCTCCATGTTCCTCAAACCTTTTTCTGCAGTCTTCTCTTGAGGCACGAAATCCTACAACATGACATGCATGACGTTGCCTGTCATTTTTGAAATCCAAACCCAGTTTTTATAAGTCATTATGACTGAGCTGGCATTTTGAATCCTTCTGACTCTATTTAGAGAGAAACAATGATACAAAGGACTAATTTTGCTGAAGGGTAAGTGCCCTAGAAATCAATACACAGATAATATAAAAGACATTTTATTCAAATATAGAGGGCAGTTCTCTAGCATGCAAACTAAAAGGTGATTCTTTTAAATCTAAACCTTTGGGTGGAATAGTCTCAGATCTAGGGCCTTTTAATTTAGGACTATAATGGAGAAATATTCAGAAGCTTGGGTCGTGGGGGAAATCCTCTTAAGGGAGGTAGAAAAGTAGATTTGATGGCAGGGTTGGATGCACCCAGCAGACCTTCATTTTCTCTGTGATGGTCTTAAATATCATCTCAAAGGCAACGCTATTCTCAACGTAAACTTATGTGCTCAAGTGGGATTTGTGTTGGTTGTGGAAAAATCTGCTTGCATGGCAATGACTGACAGAGACCAAGATCCATAATAGGCATGAGCTTTTGTGTGAGTGTAAGGGGAGATGAACAGCTGAATTAGTGCCTACCTACACAGCTCAGACCTTCTGTTTTCACGGTTGGCTCCAAAGCTCCAGTTGTGTCAACATTCAGAATATTCCCATAGCTCTCCAAACAGCCTAAGAGCGGTATTTACAACCAGATGTCAGGCCAGCGCAATGCGTGACTCATGCTGCTAAAATGCTTTCAGATCCATGACTGAAAGCCATAGCATCACTCAGATACTCGTGCAGGCGTTTGTGCCGGCAGGTGCGGTCATGGTACATCTTGTCAGCTCTGAAGAGGATTACCTCTCGGTCATGTCAGCCTAAAGTAACTGTGGAGCTTGTGAGGTGAACTGGGGCTTTGTGCACAATTCATCTCCCCTAATTTTAGCTTGCCTAAAACTTAGATGTCTAGTCTAAGCTTGTGACTTGGGCTGCCTGCATGGCCAGTGGAGAAAGGCACCTCAAAAACGCAGTTTTTCTACTCCAAAATAAAATAAAAAAAATAAAATTAGTGAGAGTCAAGAGAAATCCTACACTACTGACTGGCTCCAGCTTGCTTTTCCATAGCTACCATAAACAAGAAAATTGAAGAGAAACATCCTTCATTTACATCATTACAATTTATCTGACTTGCAGATTGTTTGTCTTGCAATTTATCTGCATTTATCTGTTGTCAAAACATGCCATTGCAGGAGGGAAAACATACAAGCAGCAACTGAGAGGAACAATGCTAACCCGATCCCAGCAGTTAATGGAAAACAGAGTTTGGTACAGTGAATTATTTACAAGAATATTAGACAAACATCACAGACCTTACATGTTTGCTGCAAGATGTCTCCCCACCTTCTTACTGCACTTCCCAGAGACAAATGGGCTTTTTATCTGCTGGTGGAGTTCTGGAGCAGTTGGCTCAGTGCACTCTTCCCATACTGACTGGTCATACAAGAAACAGAAACTCCTAACAGCTTGTTGTGTATCCTCCCAAACACAACAAGGTTTCTGCTTTTACAGCACAAACACGATTATGATTTAAAAAAATGAAATACCTTTTAATTTAATTTAAGGCCCCACTGCTAACAGTTTAGAACTAGGAGGAGCCTTGTCTGAAAACAACTGCTCCTCTTCAGTTCTTGGAAGCAATAACATGCTGGCAATGAGAAAATGTGAACCTCCACTTTTGGATGGAATGAAGTTTTCATAGGCAAAGATCCAGGAACAATAACAGAGCTGCAACTGCTGAGAATTCGGATATGCAGAGACTATGCCAGGTCTGTGTTGTTATCCTCTCTTGTACAGAGACAACAAAGGTCAACAACCCTAAATTAGCAGCAGTGTAGATTTCAAAGCTACTGTAGCTGTGCAGGAAAAAAGCCACTGGGTGGCAGAACTCCCCACAGCAGAATCCATCCTGACCTGCTTCTCCCCCGCGGTAGATTTGTGAGTGTGAAATGCTGTTTCGCTCTTTCAGCAGCTCTTTCACATTTTAAGCTGGGGGATTCGTCCCGTGTCATTGCACTGAGAAATTCAATTCTGTAAGTTTTTCCTGTATTGTTGGTACCTCCCATAGAGAACCAACTGCAAAAAGTCACAGCAGCCCATGTATGGGGCTCTTCATGTTCATGATTGTGAGTGTAAAGAAGGTTGAAACAGAGGGAAGTACACCTGGCAGAAAGGAAAATAGACAAGATATGGGTCAAATGAAGTGACATTAAAAAATCTCAAAATTCAAAATACCACTGAAGATGATTCATCAAACAGTAATCTCCCAATGGTCTCCTTATTGCTGGGGGAGAAACATAGAGGATGTACTAGTTTGCTTCTTCTACATCATAGTAATTGAGGCAGGTTGGTAGATCTCCCGTGTTTCCAGAAATTTTTGCTTAATCATATATGCATACAGGAAGTGTCACATGTCATGGGAAGTGTTTTCCTCAATAAACCTGTATTTGGGCTACTGGGGAAGGCTGCACTCCTGAGAGGACAGGCCATGGGTCACAGGAGCTGCAAGGGGCTCTGTCACTCCCTGTGATGGAGAGGAGGTGAGATCCTGCCCGGAACCCTGTGCCCTCAGCCCACCTCTCCTTCTACAATGCTCATAAGGGGACCTGAGCACTTTCTCCTCTGACAACTCTAGCATCAACCAAGATTTTGGGGAGGGGGTGAGAAAGTGCATCAATGTCTTCTACTTCCCAGCTGCTTGGGACAAGGCAGCAAGGCATGCCAGGCTTACCCAGGAAGGCAGCAAGGTCTGGCAACACAAGCATTGAATACATGGGGTGGTTCTTCCTGGCCATGCAAAACAGCTTGAAAATCAATTATCCGTCGCTAGAATGCATGAAGACATAAATATATCTCACTGCTTGCTGAATAAACACAAAGAAATTCTTTCCAACCTGATGGGGTATTTCTCTTGGTTGGGTAGGCACAGTGACAAAAGGAGTCACATCTCTTTGCATAAGAGGCCCCAGTGGCAGCTCTCCTGCTCCAGCACAAACCAGCCTTCAGCTGTTCATGAAAGACTTGTGACTTCATGAGACACTCACACTTCTGCTGCTGTTTCAAACATGCCTTTTACAACATCTTGGTAACTTCCTCCAAACTTCCTAAAACTCTGATGTTTAATTCAGAAAAAATAAAATCAGTAATGTTCTGTAATGTTAAAATTAGTAATGCTCAGTGCTGTGCTCCCACCATGAATGCCTTTATTCCCTGCTCATATTCTGTATACCAACCTCCTTTGCCATACCTGGGCAATTTTGCCTGAATTCCCCGAGACTTTCTTTATGCTCAGCTAGCTCTTCAGCCTCCATGTGGAGCAACCTGACAGTCCTGCTACTGAAATATTTTGTGTATGTAGTAAGTGTAGGCCACCTACCTATAGAACATACAACAGCAGCCGTGACGGTCCATTCAGTATCAGTGTCCATGCACTATCAGTAAGGAGGTGTTCACTGGTCACAACAGTCACAAAGGAGAGACAATTCTGGTTTACCCAGAAGCCAGGTTGCAGGGCACTGGATCAGATCTGGTACCAGCTCCTCTTTACTCTTCTCTTCTGTGTCTGGCAGGAGGGAAGGTCTGCCTCTGGCAATTAAATGCTTCAGGGCAGACATTTGTGGGATAATCTGGTCCTCTATATGGCCCTTGTGGCTCGGGCATGCAGACATGTCTTGTTAGAGATTGTCCCCATTTCTAAGGAAAAGGTACAAAAATTATGCTTCCAGGATTTTTATTATTGTGACAGGAGCTCCTGATTTCTGTAGCCATGCACATATCCAAACCTCTCCTGAACTTCGTCAGTTGCTTGATCTGAATCAACTGAAGGGTGCCTGAATAGGTAGGGAATTCATAAAATACAACCTGATTTAAAGGACAGAAATGAGTTAAATTTCTCCTTGCCTGCCTTGCAACAAGATACTTTTCCAGTTCTTGGGGTGTTTGTGGAAGGCTGAAGGCTGCAGCAGTAGGGTCAGGTTAGCCATGTCTTCTCTGTGTGGGTTTTTTCATGCTTTTGAACATTTGTCCTTATTGCTAATTAGCTTAATAAGGCATGGGTAAGAAATGAGTGATCCTAGTTATACTTCCAGTGGAGAAACTAGGCTGATGTAAGCTTCCCAAAGCAATTAAGCTGATTTAAGCTCTGGAAGGTTCCCCAGCCCATGTCAGGAAGGCAGGATGCTCTGGGTATGGGAGCAGGTCCCTTGTCCCAAGGCTGCATGATGACCTCAGAGGGAGATACAGGGGCTTGTAGATGATTGAGGCATGCGAGGAACTGGCAAAACTTCATGGATGAGAGAAACAGCCTAGAAAGGTAGGCTGCACCTGAGCTGTAACATAGGCAACCTGTGTCACTGGAAATTGAAGAACTTCTAGAGGAGCATTTCCATTAAGAAGCAGGGGAAAGCCGACAAACGCAGAGGACTACCCAATTTGAACTGATGTGATCTACAAGGTGGACATGGCTGACATTCAGTTTACCTCTGAAAAAAACATGAGGGAAATAAACAGCACGATCCCAACAAATGAGACAGACAAAATAGGCAGAATACTGTGTCAAGGGTTTGGCACATGCAATATTAAGCGATGAAGTGAGGGTAAACTTAAAATTCTTCCTACACAGTTGCTAAAGACTTCAAAATCAAGCCAGGAGAATGCAAATTCCTGGTGCCAGGTAACACCAAGATAGCAGGCATTTCAGAGACTTGGGGGCTAGAAAACCAACAAGATACTACACTGCCAGCCTCTGGAATTACAGAGTAGGATGCAGAGATGGATGAGTGATGCTGTACGTGAAGGATAAAAGTGTCACAGCATAAAAATATTACAGGAAAAGAGAAGCATCTCGAAAATGTGAGTGGAAATTCCAGTGGCTATTAATAAAAATGCTGTAGTAGGACTGTACTGTCAATCTTTTTTGAGTTCAGTAGGTGTGGTCAGTAGGGCCAGAGAAGTAGTAAATATAGGATGGTGGTACACGTGGAAGCCTGTGTATGGGCTGGATCAGTGCCTTGTCAGGATGAGATGCAGAAGTGGAATTTTTGGTTGCAATAGATTCCTGCTTCCAGGAAAAGCTGGTTCAGGAACCCACAGGAACAAACACTAGAGAGTGGCACAGTGAGTTCATTTGAGGGGTGTTAGTGGGAAGCTGCTCTGAGGTTGCAATCCTACAAAGTGATCACTTTTAACATTGAAATGGGAAAAAGCAGGTCATGTGCATCCAATATGAGTGTATTTGGTTTCAAGGAAGACAAGTAAATAAATTGAAGCAAACATTAGAAACAGTCACTCCCAACTGCAGCACAGGCTCCACAGGCGTCCTTGGGATCACAGGCTGGTGCCCATCCTGAGCAATATAGGAGAGTGTATTAAAGACGAATGGGGTGGTGAATAAACCTGGTCAGCTGAGAGATGGTCAGCCCAGCTCCCATAAGGAGCAAACCTGCCTTGGTTCCTGATGGTGTTCTGGGATCGTGTCAGCAACTGCATAGATAAAGGCCAGTGGGTGAAGTATAGCTGGGTCTTCAAAAAGGAATTTATGAAGATTCAGACTGGCACTATCAAGGAATCTAGATGTGTCTTTGCCACCCAGGAAGCTGTGGAGGCCAGTGGCACCATCACATTACCAAAGCAACTGGATGGATTCATGGACAGCAGTGCCATACAAAGAGTGGATATGTCTCCCACCACCTGCGTTAAACAGCTGGGAATGCAGAGGGCACAGTAGGAAAATGGACTGTAGAAAGCAACCAAGTTCTCCTGCTGCTGCTGGAGACAGACTTTGGGGTGACCAGTCACCAGTATCACCCACATGGCATGTCCTATAGTCATCTGACACTTCTGGTTTGAAGGGGGGCTGGTGTTGCCTTTTCTGGCCTGAATAAAACATGAGGCTTTTTTTATTAGGAAGAAAGTCACATAAGATGAGCCTAATATTTTGGGGTGCTGTGCTCAGGATTCCCAAGGCAATCACTAGAGAAGCCCTGTCCTGTGAACAGGTTGCTGGCCAGGAAATCCCAGCCCACTTTTTCAATGAGTAGTGAAGCAGAATAAATGCAGTTCTTCAGCACTGCATTGCTGTGCTGACATTTCCCTTTGTTTTCTGCATATCGCAGGGAGAGAGACATGGACACATGGCTCAGACTAATCCAACTCCAGTGTTCACAGTCAGCCATCAGAGCAATCTGTTCTACCATGTGGCTTAGGGCTCTGGTCCATGGGGACTTGGTTTTGATAGTGGTTTCCTGCTGCTTCAGTTACTGCTGAAACAGGTTGTTTAATTGGTCCCTCTGCTTGGTGTCTATGAAAGACAATCATTGCAGCCCCAGACTCCAGACATATCCCTACCTGAGCCGTGGAGGGATCAGCCCATACCACCTGAAGCTTAACAAGTTGATGAGAGAGAAAGCTTGCTACCTCACATTTGCTCTTTAATGTAGGAAACACATTTAAATACATTTCTCAGTACTGACATCAGTTGCGAAAACAAAACACAGGACCCTAACAGAGAAGGTTTTTCTTTCCTGTCTGTAATTTTTCTTTGATTTGCTGACTGCTGATTCTGATGCAGCGATGTTAGCCTGGAAAGGTCCTTAAACACTATTGCATTTCCCCTCTCTACAGCAGCATGGCGATAAAGAGAATAGGTTTAAATTAGATACTAGGAAGAAATTCTTTATTTATTGGTTGCAATACTGTAAGGGTAGTGAGGCACTGGGAACAGGTTGCCCAGAGTTGTTGTGAATGCCCCATCTGTGGAACTGCTCAAGGCCGGGCTGGATGACCTCTGAGCAACCTGGTCTAGTGGAAGGTGTCCCTGCCCATGGCAGAGGAGTTGGAACAAGATGGTCTTTAAGGTGCCTTCCAATTCAAACCATTCTGTGATTCTTTATGATGCACAGCTACTTTTACATGTTGGTCTTGGCTGTTCTTTAAAACACACAGGGAATGTTGCATTGCTTCATTATCTTGAAAGTTTTTCAAAGTATCCAACACAAATCTGCTGCCAAACACACTGCTACTTGCCTTACCCTCAAGAGGAAGGGGAGTATGTGGATCATTACCCTTCATTTGTTTTGCATATTGGAAATTGTAACTGTGTGCTTTTTCTCTTTACTGGAAAAAAAATCTAATTCCTTATTTCTTACAGGCTGTACTTTCCATCTGAGTTGTGATTGTCCTGAGGATATTTTTGTTGGTGCAACAAACTTGAACATTTGCCAAGCATCACTGATGCTGACAGAGGAACATCTGAGAGAAGAGTTACCCCAGGTGCTTCATACACAGTGCTATGATAAAGATAACCCCCCAAATGGGATTTGCCCTCTTTTTATTTCTTTTCCCCTCCTCCACTGGCATCAACTTCTTTTTTTCCCACTAGAACCCTCAACCCTTTCCTTGGGATTGTCGCCTGCCCGCTACACCTCCTCAAGTGTGTTGCACCTCTGTTTGATTAATTTCAGTACTTTGGTTCCTGACTGTTTTTCATAGTTTTTAACTGTCAGTGGAAGAGCTCGCATTCCTGCTCAGTGTAGCCCATGAGTTTGGTAGCTCATGTCCTCCATTAATTTTACAACCAAAAATTTGAGACAAAGAGGTGTAGAACAGACTTGTGTGGCTCCACTTGAAATGTCTCACCAGTTTGGCCAGAAGCTCCTGATAACCAGTGCTTTTTGTACTTAAGGCCCTTCACATATGAGGGCACTTCAAATTTCTGCTGAAAGCCTTATTGAGCTCGTGATGCAGCACAACCATGGCTTCTCTTTTGGCCACTTCCCCAGTTAGATAAAGACTGGTTGATCTGAGGTAGTTTTTCCCTACCAAGTCAGGCTGCCAGAACCCTCTTAAGTCTTGCTGTTTTGTTGTCCCCCAGGATCTCTTGAAGCAACCATTCAATCCTTTAACATCTTCCTCAGTGTTGTAGACAGATGTCCTGGAATGTGATTCCTTGGAGCTTTCTTTCCCCTCTATTTTGTCATTTCTCTTTCCTTATCTGAGCTTTTGCTTTCGTCTGATATGTTACTTGATAAAAGATCATTTGCTTTGCAAGATGTCTGTTGTTTTTTTTTTCAGTGGGCTGTGGGTCAAAAGGGTGACCAAGAGCACAACTGCAGCTGCCCTGTCTACACCAGGCAGAAGAGTAACTCCCAGTAACATGGATGCAGGTGACTAGAAAAAGATGACAGGGAACAGCAATCTGAACTCACTGTTTATCAGGAAAGCTTTTGCTCAAATCTTAAGGCAGCATGCCAGTGTTAAACTTTCCTAATTATTTACTCCTTCCTACCAATTTATCAAGTTTCAACTCATTTTCTGCAGAGGTTTTCTGTATTCACTGCAAGGTGCTGATACCCTAAAACAATATTTGCAACAAAATATGGAATTCCCATAGCTGGGAATTTTAAAAAGACTTAAAAAATAAATAATCCTTTGTGGTGATGCTGCACAAGTTAGCAGGCAAGTCTGCAGGCCCTTGGATGTTGCTACGGTAACTTGAAGCAGCAGCCTCATGAGTAACGCTCATGTAAATTGGACTCCTGAGGAGCTCACAGGTCTGCAAGGATGGCAGCACCAGTAGTGGTGACAAGGAGCTTGCTGGCAGTGATTGAAGGGAACCAAGCATGAAGAAACCAAAGGAAGCTCCACTCTGGTTCACCCTCCGAACTCAAACCCCAACTTTGTACACATAGGTAGCAATGAGATTCTCTGCTCCATTTGAAGTTTATACTGTCATATATGCAGTCATAGGCCTTATGTAAGAGTTTTATATAACACAGAGGTTTACGTAACATAATGCACCAAAGGCTTCATCCTATGAATTTTACCTAATCTATGTCAAGTAGAGGGGATCAAACCACATGAGAGACTTCATACATTTCTATTACAAAGTAACAATTTTAGTAAAATTATATTAATATAGTGCAGAATTCACAAAAGACTAAATAATATATAGTTCAATGCTTTTGGTTGCTCAACACTGAACTGTTTACTTTAGTCCTAAAAAAAAAAAATAGTAATATTTGAGACATGCTAGAGTTCCCTCTGGTCTCCAGAGGTGATAAAATGAGTTTGCTTGTCAATATGTTAATGATGGAGAGTCCTTGCTGTGGCCGAAAGCAGATGAGTGACCAGCAAGACAAGGGGCACAGCATTAAAATTGTTCTGCTGGCAAAAGCTGTCTCCAAACCAGCTCTCATGCTTCCTGTCTTGACCCTGCCTGGCAGCCCAGGCACACACAGAGCACATCCCTGTGCTGCCAGGCAGGGACTGCCAGGCGCATCACTTCTACATCAGCAAAGGTGACAGCTGGCAGAAAGGTGCTCTGATACCTCCAAAATGGTAATTCAAAAGGCTAAATGTGAACGTCCTTATTCCCTTGTTCACAGGTTTGGGTCAGTGGCCGGGCTCAGGCCCAGCTCTTCTCAGCTATCTAGTCTGCAGCACCATATTCCTCTCCCCATTCTCAAGCTAGGTTTTAGACCCACTCCAAGAGTACCAAACTGGGTTATTTACTCAAGTTGTAGGTTGCTACCCACTGAGGCCCATGAAATTGAAAAAAACAACACTGGAATTTAACATTTATCTTTATTTTCTCTCTTATTCTTATTGTTATTCTCAGTATTATTCTAATTATTATTCTAATTAAAAATGAATTGGCACCCAGAGACCCATCCACATAGAAGACCACTTTCAAACAGACCTTATAAGCCCAGAGCTAATTCACTCCTATTAGAAGCTGGGATTCCTGGCAGAGGGATGGATGTTGAAATGCTTTTAAATTTGGAGGAAACCCAGCATAAGGGAGCCAAAGATAAAGCAGGAAAGGTTGGGGGGTTTTTTACCAACACTGTTGCTGTGATACAGCTCCTGGGTGGGTACGTATGGGGCTGACTCCTACTGAGGGCTGGTCTCTAATGAAAAGGTGTTTTGCATGCCTGCTGTGGCACTTGCAGTACTTTCTATATAGAGGATTTCCCCTACATGAGGCTACTTTTCACCTTTAAGGGGTCCCCAGCCCCACCATGGCCATGGACTCCAAGGCTTGGTAGACTAACCAAATCATGTTTAGCATTGTCCCCCTTGAGGCTGGCCACAGGAATACTCAGCTACTGCAGAGACCAAAGGCTCGGTGAGAAGTCTCTTCACTGCCCCTTAGCCAGCAGCATCAAGGGGAAGGAAAATTTTAACTCAGGGACTTCATCCCCTGCATTGGCCATGGAGAGGGAAGGAGTTGGACAGAGGTGATGGGAAGAGCACAGCTGATGTCCAGGGAGAGCTGCTTGTGTGCTTGCATCTGGGGGATGCATGAACAGCCCTGGGTTCAGCTCCAAACAGGAAGAGTAACATTCCTCACTCAAAATTTAAACACTGCTGGTCTGTCCCCATCTGCTTGTCAAAGGCCCCAAGCTTGTGGTATCTCATCCCTATGGGATGAGCTGAGCCCATAGGTGAGTGGGGAGCTGGGATTTGCTGGAGCGAGCAAGGTACTGTTGGCAATGCTCCCAACATTGGTCCTGCCAGAAGACCTGCTATGGGTACTGTGATCACTGCTGGGCTAGTCTGTGCAGAGGAGAGGCTCAGTGGTGGGGCAGGTTTATGAGCTAGAACCCATTTCTCTTGAAGTACTGGGCTCGCCTAATCACGCTGTTGACGTAGTTGTTGTCTCTGCTGCATGGATCTTCCTCGTAGACCTGGAGATTGCCCATTCTTGCATGGTAGGTGCAGATTCCCCCTGGAAAGAGTTAAGAAGGACTTGTTTTGGGCTTGTAAGTAAGAAATAGACTTTTAAGAGTAAAAATTTCTAGCTGAAAGGGCCATGCATCTCATCAAACATACACAACTGCTTGGCAAAGTGCTAACTGTGCATTGTTGTTGAAAAGTGACTGATTTTGTAAAATCTTTGTTGCTACAGTGAAGGAACTCATGATTCTCTCCAAATGCAGGTGAAAATGGCATACTGTTTCTAGAAAAGTGTGTAATCTAAAAAGGCAGTATCAGAGCAAGGATGGGAGAGTAAATTATAGCATAGAGTGAACAAACCACCATGAAGATAACATGGACTCTAAGGACACCTGGATCCCAAGATTCCTGGACAGAACAGCCTGCCACGATAAGCTCATTGTGTTGTGGTGCCTCAGTTTCTGCCTCAGTTTCCCCACTGGCTTGTGTTCGGTTATTTTCTACCTTATTTATCCACCTGACAGCTATTTCACATTGCTGATCTGCCAGTTTGGAATTACCTCTTTTAAATTAGAAAACTGGGTTTGGTTGGGGTTTTTATTGTAAGACATGCTGTAAAATCTGCCAGACTGATGCTCTTTTTCCTTTAAAAGTGACACCAATGAGTGCACAATACTCTCAGTGTATCTCTTTCTAGTATACAGCCCATTGTGTACCTCTCAGCTGCCGATCCCAGGTCCACGTAGGATGTCTTGCCCGTACTTCATTAATTGAAAGAACCAGAATAGTTGAGCACTGATTTATGTGTTCTTCACTATCCCACACTGCATAAGGCTGCTGTAGCTGCCTGCTGATCTAGAAAAGACAAGCAAGAAAATGGGTTTCCCTCTGAATGCAACCCCTGCTGTAGCTTCTTCCTCTTCATTGGCCCCCCGGGCTGCAACTCATTGAAGTGACCTTATTCCAGACACTTAAGCACAACCTTTCATTTTAGTGCCGTTTTGAATACAGAACAGTCATTTGCTAAGGTAAGGACCTGGGATATGCACTAAATTACTGTGCTGTTACTCATATTTATCATCCTGATGTACCTGCATCAAGCCGTACTTCTGCCGTCCCTGGTCCCAGCCGTTGTTCAGGAGCAGGCCAACACGGCTCTCCTGTGACATGATGGCACCAATGAGAGCTGGGTCCAAGCACAGGTTTCTGGCTACTCTTCTAATCGGGACCTCATATCTCCTCAGGCGCACGAGGTCTGCCTCAGCAGTCCTCCGTACCACAGCATATCCTGCAGCGTAGGAAAAGGCAGACTTAAACACATCCCTGTCCAAAACCCTCCCTTTCCCCTTGAGCAGATGTATCAAAGAAGTAACTCAAATTGCATCTACACTGAACTGGGCAGTGGAGCTTGAGGAAAAAGCACAGCCCTATTGGCTCTGACCACGGCTAGGAAGCTGCTGTGCCAGTACCCAAGGGGAAGAGGGTGGCTTCTTAGGAAGTGAAACCACATGTTCTTGGTCCTGTTCTTCTGCTGTTCCACTGCAAATGTGGCTCTGGAGTCAGAAGAGTGAAATTTCAAAATGGATTTGCAAAAATAGATACACATTACTACTGACCAGACAAACTGGAGTAACAGCTATATTCCGTCTATAGAAAGGTGGGTTTTTTAAAGCCATTTTGGAACACTTTGGAAACAAGCACGTGTGTTCAGATCCATGCTTGGACACTGCCCTGAAAGAGCTTACATCTAAAGTATGTGGCCGAATTCCTGGAGATATGAGCAGTATTAACCTGACACAGTCAGATGTGCAATGCATGGGGAAATAACATGAGGAAAGAGAAATGTGAAGGAGTTACCAAACACTAGTCATCCAGAGGTAGGATGGCTACACACTTGGGACCTTTGCCTTGTAAAATGTGTCTCTGACAGGTCACCACTGGCCAGCTCAGTCAACATGCCAGCACTCAGAACCTGGATCTGCGCATCTTCACCTTCCAGCATACGGTCCCTGGGGTTTTGTGAGGATGCTGATGCCAAAGTTCTGGCTGATGAAGAAGCTGTTTTAACTGAAAAGGGGTGGTACTATTTCCCTTTACCCTGAGGCTGAAGATCCTGACTACAGGACCTGAGGTTTGTGCTTCCACTTCCCAGCAGATCTGGAGGCTTCACAGCACCTGCCATTTTGGGAGAGGAAGTGTTGCTTTCTCCCTTTTGACTAATTGAATAGCTGCACCACATTTAATTTGGCAATAACAGTAAGTAAAGCATCTCTCTGTCAGGAAGAAACAGGTTGACAAGTCAAGCAATGAATGATACCTACCACAATCTGGGGCTCTTACAGCTGTACAGGACATCGTGGGGGCTGGAAGAGCACTTATATCACCATAGCAACTGTAACTCATGGATGGAGCTGAAATATTAAATGGAGGTGTTTGAACACATAAGATCTCAGAGCAGTATTGTACAAGTGCTGCAAGTGCATACAAGTTGAGCATGAGGGAGTCACCCAGACCTGCAATCCACATCCCCTTGTGTTGGCCCTGCTTGTACGGTTGCCACTGCTCTCCATCAGTAATGCTATCAAAGAAAGTAGAGAACAGAAATTTGTTCTTTTCTAATTGAATATGTTGAAGCAAGTGGACCTAATGAAAATTTAGATGAATATGTGCCTGCCCTGTTAGGTCTAAAGGCTGGTATGGGAGTGAAGAACCACAGTCTCTGCATTTATTTCAGAGGGCTCTTCCCATTCAATGCCCCCAGTGTCCAGGATCCCTCAGATGATGGCTGGAGGTACCTGAGCACCCCGGCTGAGAGTGTCTCCTGTCTCCCTCCATAACCTGGTGAGGAATTAATTGAGGAGAATGCTTGCCTCAGTCTGTGAAAATTACCCCATTCCCTCAGTAACCAAGGAACAAATAGCCTCCATCAAACAGCTTGCCACATTTGTGAGACCATTTCTGAGCAGGCAGAGAGATTGGATGAGGTTAGCTGGAAAAATCAAGAGGAGCTATGTCTGTGACTCCCTTTTGGTTTCAGTCACATACTCCAGATGTGCTGGTTTAAAAGACATATATGGGCAGCAAGCGGCCTCATACAGCGGCTGAGGACCTTCAGCCACACAGGGTTTTAGAGGGCCATGAAGAAAGGGAACCTCAAGCCTATCTGCACACCTCCTCTCTGTAGTCATTCTGCAAACAATTCCCAATGTGCTTGTGACAGCAACCCAAACCCATCTCACCGACAAGGGCTGAAAGGCCCAGCAAGAGCAGTGCAGGGATCATGGCGATGGCTCTCCTCAGCTGTCCCAGGAGACCTGGAAACACAGCAGTTTGCAAAACATGAAGAAATCACTGCTGATCTTCAACAGCACTGTAGCAAAGTTGGGGTGCCAAAAGCTCCCACCCTGAGGCACCAGACGGGGATGGCATTTGCTGAAGAGGGGTTGGGGAGCAGAGGCACCTTCTCTGCAGCACGCTCTCCCCTTGGGGAGCTTGGGATCAGGGAGGTCCCTGTTGGCAACCTAGGCTAGCAGGGACCTTTTTAGTTTCTGTCAGTTCTCATTGCTTTCTTACGTGGCCCCTCCTGAACACCCGTAGCGTGTCTTTACAATGACAAGGTATGCCATCTTTGCTTTAATTTTATAGGTGTTTGAAGTCTAGTGTGCTACAAAATGCACACATCCATTGCTTCTCTGTTCAAAAAGGATTTTTGCTTGGCTTCTGGAAAAACTTGCTTTCAAAAATCAAGCAATATGACCCTTAATTCTCTGCTAAGAGCGTGCAAGGCAACTCCAAGATTTATTTGGTGAAATAATACTTCTCTGTGCAATAACAGCAGATAATCACTTTACTAATAAATGCATCTGTTGTGCTTATTAAAAAAATTCCAAAATGTCATCAGATAATAGCTATCAAATGCAAAAAACATTGACTGTATTTGGCTTGCTGGTTAACACATTTAAACAGTGCAGCTTTTGTGGCTTACAAATACTTTTTCCCCAAGAAGATTTCAAATAAAAAACACACCACGAGTCTTGTAGGCCAGTCATCACTAATGCTGTTAACACTTGAAAATACATTATCGATTTTAATAAGGTGTGACCTTTTCTCTAGACTGCATTTCTACTGCAAACCAGACTGCATGAATGCAGAAACACGGATAGTCCACCAGTGTCATTGGAGAGATTCTGATGAGTGAGTGAGCCTATTCAGGAAAAATGTTCACAGATGGAGCTGGGTACACGCAGGAACTCAGTTTGACCTCTAGCACTAACACTGAGTATTCACAAGCCTGGATCAATATAGCTTGACCCAATACCTATAAATTCAATGGCACTTCCATATGGGTCTGCATCAAAAGCTACAGGCTGTAGCTCTTTCCACATGTAGGAAATTGCCAGATTATAAAGTTTTAAGTTACCAGCCATTTTTCCCCCTCCCATCACAAAAACCTCACAGGCCTGAGTTAGATACAGCATAGCAATCACAATATTGATAAAATGGTAAATCAAAACCAAATGCTAAATCAAAACAAAATAAAGGCTTCTGGCTCTAAATAAATGTTCTAAGAGTGAATTCAGACTCACCTGTCTTCAGTTGGCCTTCCTCTGAGGCAGGTCACTTGATGACTTTTATATATACATGTAGGAAGAGGTATCCACCCTATGGGATTTGGAATGTTAATTCCTACCTAGTGTGATGACTATTTTGAAGTACAATAAGTAATATATATTAAGAGCTTAGAACTCTTATGATTTCTTTCATCCAAAGATTTGCACAAGTTGTTGTTAGTCAGACTCAGGACAACTCTGTGAAAAGAAATAAATACTGGTTTTCCTCCATCAATAAGCACGTTGCTGCACAATAAATGACTTGCAGGAAGTATTGCAGTGAATCAGTGGCAGAGGCTAGGCAAAAATCAGATCCCTGTCTAGTGCTCTCCTTGCTTTGCGTCTGAGTTAGTCTGGGCACATTTCTGGAAGGATTTTTTTTTATCTCATTTCCTCAATAATTTCATATAGGCAAGCTTTTAATTAAGAATTCTACTTTTGCATGAATTTTTAAAAGGGTAATTGAAGAAAAGCATCTCACTGCTTCATTGCTTATGGCAAATTTAATTCGGAAAGGGAACTTGAATACTTTGAGGACAGAGGCAGGATTTGACTTTCAGATTTAGGGAGGCAGGATGCTGCAGTCGAAATTAGGAAGAAGGACACTGGTTTCTCAGCAGCTGAAGCTAGAAGGGACACACAGAGGTCTCTGAAAGACTTGCACCTTGTGGCCAAAAGACTTTTCACATATCTAAAACATCTGAGTCATTTTGAGAAGGAAGGATGGTCTGGGAGGCCAGTGCCCTTCAATCCTGTCCCCTTTGACACATTTTTCTCTTCCCAAGACTCTGCCCAGCATGTGTGGAGGTTAGGAAGGCAAAATTTTTTTCCAGTAGCTTTCTGTTCATTATTTAATAAATCACAAATCCATCTATTCCCATTGCCCTCTGGGCTTGAGATGTGGCAGGTAGGAAACACTCTTTTGGTCAGACACTAATTACTGGGTTCAAAATCAAGTGTTGGCTATTAGTCTGTAAAGCACAGGATATGATCAAGTGGGTCGTGTCACCTCAAAAATCAATAAACACAAGTATCATAGACTTATATCCTGAGATAGTATGAAAGAAGGAACCTTCACTGGAGAGCCTAACCCTCTTGTTCCAGGAGGGTTGGAATATGAGTTAAGGTGAGTCTTAAGTATAGAACTCATGACATCTTCCCAAGATTACAACAAGGCTAGGCAATAATTTTTCATGTATGGACCTGATATCTTTGTGGTATCTCAGACTAGACTATCACTTAATCCTTTTACTGGGGTTTAACATTTCAAACAGTAGAGGTTTAACAGGTAGAAAATAGAAACATCATATGTACAGTGTGGCTTTAATCTTTTCAAAAGGAAATAGTGACTGAAGAAATGCTGGAAGGGAAGAAAGACAGAAGAAATGATCTGGGGAAAGTTCATAGTGCACAACTTGATGGCAACAAACCCAGTAGATGTATTAATTTACCTTCTACAGAACAAGGCAATTTATACTAGAAAGAGATGTATTCTTTCAAATAGATTATAGTAATTTAGTATTAACATCCAGTTACATTTTATAAAAACAACATCATGTTAGTGACAATAAACCAGTGTTCCTCTGTCACTGAACCTGTGTTCATGCTGATGACTTGGGACCTTTTTTTTGAGAAGTAGCCCCTGACCTTAGGCAAGATTTCTTTCCTAATGTGTTGGTCATTTGCTGACAGTCCTTAAGATAAAGTTTTGAATTTAAATACTGTTTGTTTTTGCTATGTATTTTTCTCTTTCATTTATTAACTATGTAACCACGTATTTTCTACATTTCACAGTAGTCACATGAATTCTTAATGCCTCCTCTGCTTTGCGTTGCTCTTTACGTACTTACTGAGTGGATGCTATGTTTTAAGTGCAATTATTTTTATCTGTGCTGCTATAGGCTCTTAGATCCTTGGGACAGATTCCTTGTATTCACACAATTTCCAGTGTAAACCCAAATAAGAGGATATTTTCTCAGTAGCACTATGAAGTGGACTTTTTCTCGCTAAAAACCTCTTTATCTTCACAAAATTTGCCGACTGCCTTATAGAGTAAAAGCCAAAAGCAAGCAGCCTCTATGGAAACATAGTCATGCTCACATACATTGAATGAAGCAGAAAAGTGCTTTTGTCCAAGGCACCCCCATGTAATGAGAGCTGCATGATGTTGGAAAACACCATCTTCTGCTGTGGGGCTGTAAACCCAGAGCATTGAATTCAGGTGAACCACCTAACGAGAGTAGGCTGCATCTGTCACTAGTATGTCACAATTTTTCATTTTTATGATAGATTTAATTCAGAAAATTACATCAATAGTACAGTTCCAATACATATTCTCTTTGTCCTGGATTTTGGTCAGCACAGCGCGTGACTGAGGGAGGGAGGAGATGGAAAGTCAGAGAAAGAGGAGGAGTTCACTTAGCAAATGGTATCTGCATCTTGAATTCAAGAAGCAGGAAAGTTTCCTCGTATTCACAGGGGCATTCTGGCAATAAGCTGCAGTCAGTGACCACAGACATGGTTTCTCCATGGTCTGTCACTGACACTGTTACATTGAGTTAAAGACAGAGCAGAGTGGACAAGAAAATGTTACCTGACAAAATAGCATTTTCCACTTCTTTTACATAAACTAGAAGGGAGCACACCTGAGATCTAAAGCACATCAAGGTTCAATACCATCAGTTCTTTCCTACTCACAGATTTTGACTTGTTTTTTTACCCTCATGCCAGGTGAAGTTTTTTCATTCCACTTAATGGAGATGTGATCAAAATGGACCAACATTTTTTAAATAGCATTATATATTGTACATGTTATTGTCCTTCATGTTGCAGGTTACAGCATCACATGTCACTGAGTGGTAAGAATACTATCTAAAATTACCCGGAACAATACCACATTAATTATTGTCTCTTGTGAGTTCAACTGGTTTCATAACATTGACAGGTAGATGCATTTCTCAGGCTGTTCCTTTTGTCTTGGGTGTAATTACAGGTAACACCAGGTATTCACAGACTTTGTAACTGCTTTATAGGGAAGCTGCCCATCACTTCTGACGCACGTGTGATGCCTACCACTAACTGACCAGTTAAAAATGCATCTGTAGCATCATCTCAGACAATCCCTCCAGAGCCGTCCTCCCCAACTTTTAAAGAGACACACCCAGTTTAATAATTAAATTTCTATAGTTTTTCTTTTCTATATCTAGTATACCTGGAAGTAATCATAGAATCATTTAGGTTGGAAAAGATCATCTAGCCCAACCATTAACCCAGCACTGCCAATTCTACCCCTAAACCATGTCCCTAAGTGCCACATCTACATATCTTTTAAATAGCAAAGGTCTTCAAACTTGTAAGACAGAAGGCTCTCAGTTTTCACTATGTTCAGAAATGAACAGGTGCTGAGGGCCCCAATCTCTATCTTGCTTTTTTGAAGAATGAAGATGAGCATTGAAATAACATTCCACTCTGCCTCTGTTTAGCCACAATATTTATGAGGGAGGAAAAAGTGCTTTCCTTCTGTTCTCTAAAGTGAGATTTTGAGTTTTACTGTAGGAAAAGTGTTCTAGCAAAGAGGACACTGGACTGGATGTTATGAGACATCCAGCTTAAATACAGATCTATCATCTAAAGCAAGTCCTTTGGAGTTTGAGCCAGGATTCTGCATGTAGGTCAGAGCCAACCCCAGCACAAATGCAGGCTGGGGGATGAATGGATTGAGAACAGCCTTGAAGAGAAGGACTTGGGGCTGTTGGTTGACAAGAAGCTCAACAAGAGCCAGCAATGTGCACTTGCAGCCCAGAAAGCCAACTGTGTCCTGGGTTGCATCAAAGGGACTGTGAACAGCAGGTCAAGGGAGGTGATTCTCCCCCTCCACTAAGGTCTCATGAGATCCCACCTGGAATACTGCATCCAACTCTGGACCTCCAACATAAGAAGGATATGGACCTGCTAGAGCAAGTCCAGAGAAGAGCCAGTACATTGATCAGAGGGCTGGAGCACCTCTCATATGAAGACAGGCCGAGAGAGTTGGGACTGTTCAGCCTGAAGAAGAGAAGGCTCTGGGGAGACCTTACAGCACTTTCCAGTACCTACAGGAGGCCAACAAGAGAGCTGGGGAGGGACTTTGTACAAGGGCATGTAGTAGGGGTACTACTGAAAGAGGGTAGGTTTGGATTTTAGTTGCCCAGAGAAGTTGGTTGCCCTGGAAGTGTTCAAGGCTGGGCTGGATGGAGCTTTGAGTAACCTGGTCTAGTGGAAGGTGTCCCTGCCCATGGCAGGGGGGTTTGAACCAGGTAATGTTTAAGGTCCCTTCCAACACAAACCGTTCTGTGATTCTATAACAATTGAGAGCATATCTGTGTGCCTGGAATTAATGATGCAAAGCATCGAGGACTCTCAACATTTTAGAAACCAAACAGGAAACAATTTCAGACTTTTTTCTAGGGCAGCACACTAACAAAAGAAATAATTAGCAAGGAGGAAGTAGATCAGGAAGGCAATTAATGTTGTTTTGTGTATTACAATCACCTGATTTTCATACAATGTCATCTTGGGAAAAGCCAATCGTTACTGGAGATTGTGTGGTTTGTGATGCAGGTAAGTTAATTTTTAAACCTTTTTTATAGGAGTTAAATGTTGAAATCATACCATCAGGCAGGTGACACTTGAACAGGTGGTGCTCAAAACCACAAAGTATATTACACAGATTCAACACTGAGCTATGTGGCTACTGGATCAGTTGTGGTTTATTTTAGGCAGCTTAAACCATGGCTATAATAACTGATCAAAAAAAATGTAGCCTTACAACATGCACCTCATAGGATTTCTGAAAGTACATTTTCTTAACTATTTCCTTTCCATCAACAAGCATCAAATATCTCTCAGTGTACGTGCACTTAAAATTAATTCACCAAGTCTGAACAAGAGTTTTTTTGGGTGAAGCTCTGGGGTCTTATGTACTACTTTAGCCAGTTTGATGTGTTACCTTTAAATTGATGAAGAAGGTATGAGCATAAGTTCCCTTTTGTAGCATAGGATATAGAACAGTGCTCTGCAGGGGGACAGGTAACAAGGAGCATCTGCCAGACTGCACTGTCTCGGATCACCACAATCATATTGGACAGGCTTACTGCTGAAGGCTTCAAAGCATGATCCAACAACAAAAGTTCAGAGTAGACCTTTTTTTGGCAAATGTGGTGGAACCTATCTCTATTTATCCTTTAAAGGGGGCTCAGGGGCAACATTCCTCTCAGAACATTCTAAAATATTCTACTGTAACATCAAGTACCTTCTACTTCCAATTCCTAGAGAGGCTTTTCTTCAACTCCAGAGTGTAACTCTCCCTCTCAAACAGTTGTATAGAGCTGTTCTAAACAGACAGACAGATCAACTCACTACTGAAAGAATTTTCCTTTCAAAAACTGAAATACACAGCTATTGTATATGCAATGAGTACAAAAGCCATCTTATTTCTGCATCAGCTTGTGCTTGTTTGTGTGTGCATGCAGGACATGAAATGATTGCATTCCTCACACTGAGTTGAAGACACCAGCCTTGCTCTTAAATGGAAGACAAAGGGCTTATTTTAGAAACTGTACTGTTCAAAGCCTAAATTTTCTACAGAAAATTGCATAGAAAAGTTTTCATTTTAGAATTTCTAGATGGTAAATAGCACAATGGGGGTTACTTGGAACAGAGGACTAGAAGGCATCAATTCATCTTTTGAATTGGCCTCCCTCAATGACACTTATGACACTATGACTCCCTATGACACTTGCAGGCAATCCAGCCTACTAACGAGGTCTGAGAGCAGCTGTGCCATTGTCGCCTTCTCCAGAGTTTGTTTCTTGTCCTCTCTTTCTGGGACTAGACTTCTTCATTCTTTCCAAATCCCAAAGCTCAACTCAGCACTTAATTTCTGGGTAGATTTCTTGAGCAGACCAGCAGAAGGGAAACACAAGATCAATCAGTAATCAAGGAATGTCCAGTGAAGTCCAAATAATCAGCATTAAGAGCTGAACAACCCAGATCCTGTTTGGTTATTCCTGCCTTCATGCATTTCTTCAATAATCACTTCATGCAAGCACCTGGCACAGACTAAAGCATTAATCATTACTAAAGTGACATGCTGAGTTTGGGCATAAGCCCCATCACTTCCAAGCTAGACGTGAATATTTCTGATCTCTTTGCTGTCTAACACCCTTTCATGGGTAGCACGTGCCAGTACCATTCTGTGATTAGCCTGGGCTCAGGAACCATAGTCAGTCATGTCCAATCTATCTGCCACAAGCAATTAACCATGTGCAACCTGTGTCCTTTCTGGATATTGAGTATCACCATCTCATTTATTAGCCATATGGCCACTAGATCGCTGTTAATGAAGTTAATCTTTCTGCTTTTCAAGTATGAATAGCTTACATTTGTTTCAGCTGGTGTTCTCTGTATTGTGACACTTCCAGCTTGCTGTCCCAGGTTTTATTATCATGGACAATTCATTAAATTAATGGGCACTGCAAAATCACTGAACTCTACAACAGAAGAATAATTTGTTCCTCACTACTCAAACCAGACAAATTTCCCACTTCTTAAAGAACTTACAGGTTTCTGCAAAAATAAAATTTTTGGGTTTGGATTGTTCATCTCAAAGCAATATGCAGAATGGAGATGTTACCAAGAGGACTGTTCAGTAACAGTTTTAATGTTCATTCAAGACAGAAAACGCAGAAAGCAGACGTGAAAGAACTGAAGGAACAGATCTAGGAGACTGCTACTTCAAAAGAAAGTTAAACTTATTATTACAAACAGTCTCAATTTCCCTCTATACCCATGGCAAGAGTGTCCCTGTCCAATGCAAGGGGATTGGAACTAGATGATTTTTAAGTTGTAATCTCTTCCAACTCAGGCCAGACCATCATTCCATCATTCTACCCAAACCACACATTCCCGCAAACTCCTTGTATCAGCACTGGAGTACGTGTGGTCATGTTACAAACCAGATGAAGAAAGAGCTCCCAGGAGGGATGAAGGAAGATTAACCTAGGAAAAAAAATCATCAGCTTAAACTGACATGAAACCACAGACTCTGAGTAGGATTTGCGTTGAAGGATTTGCGTTGTAATGAAGCTATTCACACGTGGAACTGAGTAACCTCCAACAACGCACCATGCGGGAATCCTGACAAGCCCACGTGTTTCCACACAGCATGCAACTGCATTAGACATGATTTTATATTTCCACAGCCTGTTCGACATAATTAGACTCAGAGATGAGTCCTGCTAAGACACTTGTAAAGATACTGTTGGAACATTGGTTTCCTGAATTTCATGCAACTGGATAAAGAAAAAAAGAAAAAGGAGCACTTTCTAATGCATTTGGGAGAGTTTGTGCATTAAAAAGGATATCAACTCGAAGGAGGTCTGCTTTATGCTTCTCCTGGATGAAGAGGCAGCTGTGTACATCTTAAGCTGATTGCCTTCTCATAGTGATGTCATAGTGCTAAGATAGAACTGTAAGTAGTTTGCTAGAAATCCAGAAAGAGCTCATAAAACTTCCTGATGGACTTTATTAAAAGAAAATTAACCCACAGCACCTAGACTTCCTTCTTTGAAAGGATGCAGTAGTCAACATTAGAATTAAAATAATTTTATTGCAATGTACATGAACAGAAATAAAATATAATTTTTTAAACTTAAAGAGATATATTGCTGGGCTGGCCCAATCACAAGTGTTCTCCACTACAAGGCAGCAAGACTGACTAGACCCACTTCACTGCTTTTTGGGCCAAATGGATTCAAATACCACCTCAAAAAGGGTCCTTCAGCACAAAGCAAATTATTTTTTTAAAAACAAAAAGAAAACTCATCAACTCTTCATCTAGCCAGAAATTTTACACTGTGTCCAAGGAAGATCTCCCTTGAAAATTCTGTCCATTATTGAAGAACAGTACACAGTATGCGGTGTTATATCTGAACTTAACAATCAAGGTTTCTCCCAAATACTTTTCTCTATTCTACTCTCTTGTACAAAGCATCTCCTATAAAATCCAAACATTCACAACCACAGAATTATACAAACCCATCAACAAGGCAGTTTTCAATATGCTTGTTGCTATGTGCTATTACCTGCTGTATCAGCTCTGACATGCAGTGTCATGACATAGATGGTACAAAGGCATTTCTCTTGGCCATCTGTTTCAGAATTCACAGAAGTTATGACTGCTTTTAAAATTTATAGCACAATGCAGTTAATTTATTTAATGTCATGATATGGCACCATAAGGAATCATTTGTTAAAATGCACAATTTCTTTACTAATCATTTTGTGGGGCTTTACTGATAATATAAGAATAAACTTAAAAAGACAACTGGAAGAGGAACTGATCAAGAAAAATAATTTTTTAAAGTGTCTGTTACCTCTTTTAATAAAGAAAAAACAGAAAAAAACTCCTGTAACTGTCAGATTTCACAAAACCAACAAAATTCATTCCTTACTGAACAAGGTTAAACTGTGGCCTCCTTGCCACATGATGTGGATACCTGGATGAGGTTTTAAAGAGATTTTTCTTCCACTATTTTAACCAGCAAATGCTCTCAGATACAGAGTTCCCCCAGCCACAGATTGCTTCACAGATTGTAGGGAAGCATTGCTATCTGCTCACCCTGTTTTCACTTTTCCTTGTACATCTGCTTTCAGCCACTGAAACTGGATGCTGGGCCAGAGGGAACTTTGGTCTGACTTCATACAGCTGTTTCTAAGTTCTTCAAAACATTTCATAAGCTTACACTTACTAAAAACAAAATTCATCATTTGCCATGTCATTTAGTCAGAAGGACTAAGATTTTTGAATTACAAAGACTTCCAAAAGAGGAAAAAAAAATATTTAAGCTTTTTTCCACTATGACTCAGTTGTATAAAACTGTATAGAAAAATGAGAATTATGTGCAGATGTAATGAAAAGCAGTAAGCTTTATAAAAAACATTCTTAGAAATGTACCACGCATAAACAAAAGATGATTTACAAATATATTTAGTGGCTCTTCTAGTCATCATCAGAATCTGAATCATATATCTTTCCTCTGATGGTCTTCTTATCCAGCTTTGTAAAGCTTGTTCCGTATTTCTTTTGACTTTGAAAAGGTGGGTCCATCAAGTTTCCACTAGAGGAAAAGGGTAAGACAAGTTGATTAAAGACATATTCATACAGACAATAAGCAGCATCTCTAATGACCTGTTTCTCCAGAAAAAAAAAATCGTAAGAGACCACAATGCCTACTCCCTAAAACCACTTTAAGTAGTAGCACTGTAATGTTGCCAGCATAGCAATCTGACCTGAACAGTTTTTCCCCTAAATACAGTTTATCCTTTCACCATCTGCTATCCCACAGGTTGAAGGCAAATAACTATTTCTAGGCTCTGAGGAAGACTATGCCCTTTTCAGGAACTCCAGAGAGCAGGACATTATTTTCAGAGCAGTGTGGAAACATGGTTCACTTTGCAAAGCCAGGGTCTGGCAAAACGAACAAAAAATGAAACAACTCCCCCACAGCACAAGGAGCCAAAACCAAATACACAGTACTAGTAAGGTCAAGTAGGAGGCAAAATTATGCCATAAGACAGTGTATTCATGTTTAGCAAATTCAATGCTGTTTGGTATAAATCCTGTGAAAGATTTTTCCCATAAAAGGCTGTTGCTGTCTAGAATATACATCCAAGCTGTCTTTGACTCCTCTGCAGATTTGCTTGTTACTGAACTGGGAATTACCCCTTGTTCTCAGTTACAAATTTTAATTTCAGTTATTTCACCTGAAGTTCAACACCTACTAAGCCAAACAGAATAGTGCCAAAGACATTAAAAACAAAATACCAAAATTAACCTAAAAATATAAAGATGACATTTGAGCCACACTGGAAAGCAAAGCAAAAAGTCTTGGTAAATAATTCTCCTGTAAAGTTAGGTTATTGTGGTGACATATCTACTACTGCCTTCTGTCCTGTAGCCTTTAATGTGGTATCTATTATGATTATATTGTACTGGTACTCAAATAATTTATTTACATTTCTTCAATTTATTTTCCTTTTCTGTACTGTTCATTGGAAAACAAACATATCCATGTTTGTGATATGGACTAAAGAGGACTTCCTGAGTTGTCTCTGAGGTAGACTGAAAATGCTCAGATTTACTTGCATTGCGACAAGAAGCATCTATAGCTGATTTAGAGAGGATTATATTAGACGCATGACTCTGAGGCCATATTAAAGCAGCACAGCTACTCCATACACCTCATTGCAAGAATTGGGTTTATTTTTATTACTATACAAAAAGGACAGCATAACACTCATTACAATGGTTCAATACTTTGCCAAAGAGATTCCCTTCCTTCCCTTGCCAGAGTATTCAGATTAAACTCTCATATCAAAGTTAAAAACTTTCACAGATTTTCCTGTCTGCAAGTATGTTCTCCTTGCACTTTATCTGAAAATAAAACAACCACAAAACAATTAATTACCTGTAATTAATTATGTCTGCACAGCCTAATCTCCATTCTAAGGTTTCTGTAGTGAAGTCATCAGTGTTACCAAGATCAGTAAAGCCCACAATGTAGTCTTGCGTTTTTCCATCTTTTATTAGTGCTAGAGTGGGAATTACTTTGATGCGCAGTCTCTCGCACAAGAAAGGAGATTTTTCAGCATTTAATTTCAAGAATTTTGTCTCAATGTGCTTTTTTGCCAATACAGTCAAATGCTTGTCCATTATTTGGCACCTGTGGAAAAAATTACCCAAAATATGTAAAGTGTTAGAATGAATACAGTGAAAAACATGTATTTTAGAGAAAATTTAAAAGGAGCAGTAAAGAGCTAGTTCTGTCATGTTACTACCTCAGACATGACCTTTCTAATTAAGAATTTAGTTTCAAGAGAAACTGTGTTTTAGATGTAGCTGGATTCAATGACTAATAGAGGAACAGCCTGGAGCACCTTTAGTGCACAATTACACCATTCATTTCTCTAATTTCTTCCTAATTAGTTCCACATACACTTGCAAGCCTCTGTCTCGTTTCTTGAGGACCGCACTTATTGTTGAAATTTCTTTCTGATTTCTATTGTTCCTGCTCTAGCTTCACTCCCTGTCAGCTGGAAAAATTTCGCTATACAAGGTTTCTTCAGAGAAGTACTTTCAACATGTTACAGCATTTTGGATTTTTGCAGTCACTACCTTCACAGCTGAGATGCAGTAATTCACTGTAAGGGAAAAAAAAAGTGATTTGCAAAGACTGCTACAGCAGGGCTACAGGCAAAAATATTTCACTTTTCTGTTGCCATGGAATAGGAGTGAGTATACAATTCTTTACTAATTGTTTCTCAGCCAAGGGACAGTGACATGAACTGCTCAAAATACTTGTCAGATGGCAGAGATTTGTGGACTCATCACCTGCAACGTCAACTTTCTGGATCATCTTCTCTAAGCAATTTGGCTTAGCCGCAAGAACTCCAATGCAACTGTCCTTTAACTCAAGAGGAGAGCTGAACAGAACAAAGAGCTGGAGGAAGCAAGGATGAAAGCAACGTGGTATGGTGGTTGGTTAACCAGAGACATGGGCTTCAAGCTGGTTGGCACCACAACACATTTTACAAAGCACTTCCTCTGAAGTTCCTTCTCCTGTCTGAGTCTACCAGACTTTGCTGGTTCAAGATGTAAGAACCAAACAACCCAAATCTGTTTCTAAGCTACTTTATTTGCAGTGACAGCTTTCAACTTCTTTGAGTAAAAGCTAGCCAAATAGAACCACTTCGTGTATTTCTGAAACTTAAACACTGAACTTAGAAAATGTGGGACACAGATACCTCACTGCATAATCCAGCCTCGACCTCTTTCAATTTCTCACATTGAGGCTGTTTCAATTTATATTCTGTAAACTAGAGAGAATATAACACCTTTGGGGGAAAAAAAAACCCAACAAACCAAAACCAGGACAACTGCATCCTCCTTCAACAAACTACTCTACTTTCTAACTGCATTTTAACAGAACGCATTGAAAGAGACCCAATGAGGAACAGCCTATAACCCAGAACTTCTGAAATTCTTCCAAGGAAGTGGGAGATCTCATTTTCAGTTCCTGTTCTGAGTCAGGACATATTCTCAGATCTAGGTGTCTCATACCCTAAAAAAGTGACATAATCACAATGGCACAGTCACAAAGGGAAAGCAGCTGCAATTTGTATCCAGAGATCCTTTCAAAGTAAAAGGTTAAATTCTCAAGATGCATAGACAAGATTTTGGTTATATTTTATTTTTGTTTCCCAGACCTGCCCGGAATATTTCTATCTGGAATAACCAAAGCCATATTTCTGAAATGCTGCTCTGCTATGGTCACTACATTTACAGACCTGGCTGCCTCAAACTAAATCGATAATGAAACAGAGCAGTCTCTCAAATATTGTAAAAAAGGCTGTACATTTATGTTTTTATCAATTATATAACAGAGTATTAATTGTTGTCAAATCATGTTCAGAATAACTCTAATGGAAAAAATAAATTTAAAAAAAATCAAATGTCTTGAGAAGTGAGATTTGTAATGAAAGAATTTGAATACTTCTAAAAATGCCTACTTATTTGTGGGATTTGAAAGAATAAAAGAATACATCTGTTTTTGTAGACACCTCTACACAAAAGGTTTCTTCAGCATGGCTTTTTTACTATACCTGAATGTTGTATCTCTATAGAAATGGCAAACAACATTTTTACTTTCTTTGACTTCTTGGAAAAAGTCTCTCTCACTGGGGATTTCTCTGTATTCTCCGTGTCCTTTTGAAAGCCATTCCTTTTGGAAAACATAAAAGGAAATAATTAGTATAGAGTTTGTTAGTACTGCATCTGTCGTGCAAGCTCTACAGATTTTAGAGAAATTAAACAGGGGGCTTGAAGTGAAAAACCATTTCATACAGTAACAGAGAAAGAAATTATATCCTGCACTTCAGTTACATTTTGAAAATACGTAAATACCACTAGGCCTAGGTTTAGGCTTGCCTCTTTTTCAACAGCAGATATGTGGATGAGCAGTAAGGCCACCCTTGCTTATTTGGAAATACAAATCTTGTACAGATTGTCAGTAAGACAAGACTAGTTCAAAGAATACCATAACAAAAATTCCCAGCATTTGAAAAGTGCCAACTGACAGCTTGGACTATTCTCTCTGAAATGTTTTTGTACATTTCAGAACTCTTCTCTAAAACTTAATCAAGCCACTACATGTATTAAACAAATTTCTTCTAAGTTCTTCCTCTATGAAAAAAGCCTACTAACTCATCTGCAATAGACAAAGTTTACCTATCAAATATATTAACATGTTAACATCTATAAATATGTTTACATGAACCAGGCTCACAGAAAACCATTAAAAAAACACATATGCACCATTAATCATAAAATGTATGGAGAAACAGAATCTCACGAGCTAAAATTTATATGTAACTTCAAAAACTGCCTGATTAAGTGTGTAAATACAGTTTACAAAAAGCTAATCTTCCAGATTTTCAACAAACACACTTAAGGAAAAATCCAGCTTCTACATTACTAAAAGTTAATTGTAGTGTACGAAAACAAGTACAAACTAAGCTAAATGATTAGAAGTAGCACAGTATGACAAAATTTGACAAAACACTTTAGTTTCCAATGAGGGAAAAAATTTTTGATAAATCACTGTTCTTGATCTTCCAGTTTTGTCTTAGCAGAGTGAAGATTAAAAAAAAAAAAAGGTTTCTGAGCGAACCAAAGATATCCTGTAAGATAAATTAGGATAGAACAAAGAATTTCCTGAATATTGTATACATTAAAAATTCATAGAAGTATGAGCATGTGAAAAAGTCACCATGGTACAAATCACGAGTATGTGAGTATGCATTAATTCTCCTCTGCACAATTTTATTCTGGAATAGTGTGGCAGCACACTCCTATTACTGAGCAGTATCCTACTTCACATTTGCATCTGAAAATGTATGAGAACAGTGACTTAAGACCAAACGACATGAAAATGTTTTTGCATGAGATCTATCACATGTTCACATCTAAGTGTTATGACTTCTGAAAAAGGAAAACACTAGAATCAAACATAAACTGAACTTCTGAAAACAAGCAAACAGTGTGCCACTTTCTCTACTTCTGCATTTAGAGAATCCAAGCTGCTAATGCTGCCTGTCCTCCAGTATCCCAACCATGCCATGCCATTTTACTGCATTCCTGTTTCAAAGCCTGGCATTAGCTTTTAAGGATTCCATCAGAGGCAGAGCATCTCCTTTCAACCCAGTCACCTCTCCCCCATCAAAATCTATTTCTTTAGTTGGGTTTGCTTAGGTGGAGTAAGCTAAGAAACCTATGGCTTCCTTGTTTACAATTCAGGTCTCACACCATATGTTACCAAAATTTTGGTGAGAACTATTGTTCAAAGAGACTTTTGAGGGAGCATAAAGACCACAATTTGACATGAGGTATCAGGAACTAACGGAAAATTTCTTTCCTGTAAGAAGACACGAATGGTCATACAAAGACAACATTCCACTGGGTTAGAAGGAGTGCGACAAACGATTCCACCCTAGGAACAAGGGAAAACCTGGTATCATCCTTCTACAAAATACCTTAAGAGAACAGCATGCATCACTTACATGCCACAAGTAACAATCCAGAAGCTTCAGAAGGAAGCTTCTGAAGAAAGAAATGAAGGAGCCTAAAGGATTATGAATAGGTTGCCTACAAGGCTTATGCTTCCACATAGTAAAGTTCAGTGAAAATGGACACACTCAAATCTCTGTAGGAGAGTCTTTCTCCTATCTGTATTGTAAACAATCACAGAGGTGCTTCTCTCCTCCTGTTAAAAAACACAAAGCATGCACATATGGACAGACACTTGCTTTCCTGGATAATTTAAAATTAATAAGTATGAAAAGGTGATGAAGAACAAAAAAATCCCAAAACCAGCAAAACAACCCCAAAACACTTCATTCACATACACAATTTCCCTAGGATTTCCCAAAAGTCTGTTACATGTAACACATCAAGACCCTGTACTACAGGAATTACTTGTTTCTGTTGCTGGGTCTTTTTTAGTGCCTCAAGCCTCCTCTGTTTAAGGCGTTCCAGTTCATCTTCATCCATTTGGTCCAGCTTCTGTATTTCAGCATCCAGATGTTCTTCCACAACCTTGGTAGACTGAAGTATTTCATTCTCCAGAACTTTTTGAAGTATATCAACAGGGGTATCGGCAGCCATCTTTAGCTGGGAAGTGATCTCTTCAGAGCTGTGGAAATAGTGACACAAGGAATTAACATTTATGCAAACAATTAAAAGCCTGATCTCTCTTGCAGTTCACACCCTAGAGAAACAAAATACTGTGCTATTTGAAGATAGGAGTAGATAGTTATTTTCTATGCTGCAACCCCCTTTGGAGAATACTTTCACAAGGAACACGACTGGCAACAAAGATACAAGTCAAGTCCTGTTCTCTCAGCCCCAAAGCCACATATTGAAAGTGTAAAGGAAAATGAAACCGCTTGTTAATATAAAGAAGAAAAAATCACCAGTTCCAAAGTGGTGAGCCAGATGCACCTACCTTTAATAAATATTCTGAAACAAGAAGATGCAGTTGGAAAACTCCAAGCTGCTGTTATAGGAGGGATAAGATGTCTCAGAACAAATCTAAGCAATGCTTAGTATACAAGTTTCTGGCAGTAGTTTAAACGCAATTACTTTAAGCACCTCAGGCATTTTAACATATTTAAATCTGTGTTAACACTCCTCATCTAGAAGAAAGATGAAGTGCTTAACAGCAAATGCTTTAGGCCAATACACTGCTTTAATTAGTACCAGAAAACTGCTACTGCAAACACCACCCTATGGTAGCCAGCAACAGGATTTAAAAGCCACTACCTATTGCTGTGTGAAGAAACACAGCCAAAATAATTTTCTCCCTGCTCAAACACAACAAAAGGCACAAAATACTAACTGGGGTGCATGAAGAGCTGTGACAACACAATCGATTGTTCTCACCAATAAACTTACACTGCAGAAAACTGTCATTGTAGCAACTGATAAGTCTGAAAAGAGGACAGCGCACCATCACCCTACTCAGGTTCTTAACCCGGAGACCACGGTTCTGATGTGCTGAGTTTGGGTTCTAGGGTACTCCTGGCTGTATGTCAAAGCAGCTGAGCTGCCAGCATCATTGGCTCTGCAAACACCTTGCACACAGAGGCAAGAAAAGCACTTTAGGTAGCGACAGGCAAAGTACCAGCACGAGGGCAGCACTCCAAGCGTACTGCAGCAGCAGCAGTGCCCAGCCTGCCGCCACATCCACTCGTGTCACTGCCACGCTCCCTGACCCGCAGCACCCCGCCTACTCCCCCTCTTCCCAAAGCTGCTAACCACAAATCTCTGTTCCCTAACCCCCTTTTTTGTACTTCCAGAGGGGACAGGAACCTTGCCAGCGCAGATCAGAGGCCAGCAGGTCTCCAGGAGAGGGAAGGAACCCTGCTCAGCTGGGGCAAGGAGAGACTCGTCCTCCCAACAAACAGGAAGAAAAAGGCAAGACCAATCCCAGCCAGGATCTACGACATCCCGAGGGCTCCCGGCGCCCCAGGGGAATCCCAGGTGCCAACAGGATTTTCCTACGCAGCCGGAGGGTTCGGTACCACTGCCGGGGCCGCGGTTCTGCACCTGGGCCGGGAAGGGGCGCAGGGGGCCCGGCCGAGGGGGCGGCACACGGCGGGGGCACCGCGCAGCCGCCAAGCGCCCCCCTGCGCAGGGCCGCTACAGACAACGCACTCACCCAGTTCCGGACGAGCTCTCCCGGGACACCCCACCGCTCGCCCCGCCGGGCCCGGCAGTGCCGCCCGTGGTCACGGCCCCCACACGGCCCGGGCACCGCCGCTCACCCTCCACCGGCCGCGCCCCGACCGAGGTATCGCGAGAGACAGCGCGGGGCGGGGCGCGCACGGAGCTCACTCCCCGGCGCGCCGATTGGCCGGCCGGCGGCCGCGCGTCCCTACGGGCGATCGCGCCCGTGCACGCGAAACCCCTCCCGACGCGCTGATTGGCCGCGGGCTCCTGACGTACGCATGCGCCCCGCGCGCGTGCCGGGTGCGTGTGTGCACCGCACCTGCGCCCCGGGCGGCCCCCTCTCCTCCCACTCCGCCGCAGCCCCGCCCCGAGAAGGCCCCGCCCTCCGCCCTCCCCCTCAGCGGCGGGGCTGTGCCGGCCCGGGCGCTGCGCGTTCCCACGGCCCTCGCCGCGCTGCCACGGGCGGGGCTCGGCCGCGGGCGGCGGGGGCGTGGCAGCGCCCTTCTAAGCCCCGCCCTTCCTTTTCCCGGCGTTCCGGAGGCTCTGGCGGCTGTAGCGGGAAGTGGGAGTTGGGATCGTGTGCCACCGCTGCCGCCGGTATTTTGGGGATTCCTCCTCGGGGTTGTGCGTGTGTTGCCAAGGCCACAGCCCCGCGGAGGAGCCGCGGGGCCGGGCCCCCGGAGCGAGGGCGGGAGGTGAGTCACGCTGCGGGAGCGGGGCCTCCCCGGCCAGAACGTGGGATGTGCTACAGCAGCAGGGGCTCGTCGTCTCTGCTTCCTCTTGAAAGTACGCTGGAAGATCCGCTGATTTAAATAATGGGATATTAAAGCGTATCTTCAAAAAAACAACTCAAGTGTTCTGCTGTCGTCTTTCTTTGAAATCTGACTCCCCAGTACCGAAGTGGGCTGACAGGCAAGGTGCGGCGGGAAGATAAACTCGGCCTTATCTGCAGTCTGCTGGGAGCCTGGGTGGGAGAGACTGATAGGGAGCTACAGCTGTTCAAAGGCAGAGAGAAATAAGAAAGTCAGGGTTTTAGGGAGTGAAGCAATCCTCGGGTTGCAAGGTGAAGAGGTCTGCTCTGTCCGCCAGAGGAATTACTGTGATGGGGTGATGACGACAGAACACGTGCAGCTCTCAAAGCATATTAAATACATAGAATGATGGCTGTGCTCCCTGTGAGTGTTGTTATTCCTGCTCCACCTTGCTTTGCTCTTGTCAGGAGGAGGTGGGGTTGCAGCAGAGAGCCCCTCTGCCTCAATACACTGTTTGCTGCCTTACTTCCATGCTGTGTGTCTGTGGATGTCAGCTGCCTCCTGCCCCACAGCAGCAGGACCTGGGCTCTCCTGTGAGAGAGCCCAGCACTGTGTCTGTTCCCAAGGCTCCTTGGAGGGAAGTGGGAGGGAAAGTTTTGTACACTGAGAAAGTCTGGCAAAGGGGGGAATGAATTACCATACTTCTAGTGCTGCCCAGCAGCCAATTTCCTTGCCATGGAACATCTTCCATCCCTGGAGCTGAGTTTGGTCACTGCCACAAACCCAGTGCTGCCTCCTCGACCCCCCGTGTGAGGGCCAGTTACCTCAGGGTCAGATGGTGAAGTTTTGGTTACACTTCACCTCCAACGTGGGGGAGTGCTGGAGATGATGGACCAGCAGAGCCCACAAAGGGCTGGGGGAAAACTACTTGTGTGCCCAGAGGAGCAGTGAGGTGTCCTGGGCATGTCCCACACCTGAGCCTGGTCACTCTCCTGCTGCCCCGTTCCCTAAAAACTTCCCCCTTAACCTTTCCATTCCTACACTTAGACCTAGCCATTCTATTTGCCTACAGGTAAAACCTTTCCAAACATGTTAATTTTGACTGTTCAGTCAGGTTTCGGGGCTACATGGGCCACAATCCTGCCAGCAAGTCCTGGCCCCCCTGGAGAGGCAGGAGGGAAACTACAAATTCGGGGCGTCACTTAGACGTTCTCCCGGGGGCTGCGCGTGGGCCAGACCGACGGGATCCGGGCCGGTTCCAGGAGCCTCTCGGTCGCCGCCCGTTCCCCCTCCGGCCGCCGGGGGGCGCCAGCGCCCGGAGGCCGCACGGCGGGGCGGGGCGGGGGCGGAGCAGGCGCGTGCGCGGCGCGCGGCGGTGCCATATGCGCGGGGCGGTGCGCGGGCAGCGCTGAGGGGCCGTGCGCCGGTGTCGCCGCCATGGGCAAGAAACAGAAGAACCGGAGCGAGGAGAGGTGAGGGGTACGGGGATTCTCCCCCGCTCGTCCCGCCCCAGGGATCCCTGCCCCGAGCCGCCCGCGGCGGCGTGACACGGCCCACACGGCGCTGAGTCAGGCGTCGGGCCCGGCCGGGGCTCGCGGCCTCGTCGCAGGCGGGGCGCGTCAGGCCTGGCTCGGCCCGGCCGTCCGTGTGTTTGTCCGTGAGGGGCATGCGGCTCGATTGCCAGCCGAAAAATAGCTGCTTAGTGCAATTGCAGTGCCTCAGGTGTGGATTTATTAATTATTTTTTCTCTCTTATCGGGCGTTAGTGCAATTGATCGTGCTGAGACAGGGATATCTACATGCTTCATGCTGTAACAGAGATATCTGTATGGTTAATAAATGCAAATGTTAGATATTCTAGGGGTTGGATGATAAGAGGATCGCCTCTGTGGTTATGTCCATGTCGTCGTGGACACTGCCGCATCTGTGAACTTTTTTTGTGTGTGAGAGTTTCCTATAGAGGCAGCTGTATTAACCATATGGAATGCTGACCGAGTGGCGTTGTGTATATATACACAAGTAGGAGAGAACTTGTCACTGTAAAGTAACGAATACGAAGATACAGTCAGTTTGAAGAGTGTTTTTAACTTTTAATACTGACAAGTAGTTAAATAAAAACTGATGTCTTAAAATGTGTATAGGCTATAAACTACAACTTTTTTTCCTTAACTTTTTGAGCCATTAGGTGTTCTTCATTCGGATCTAAAAAAGAAAGAGCAATAATGTAGTTGCAGTTACCCTCACTGTTGCTGAGTCCTAAGGTCGGTGGTTTCATCCTGGAGGTGGTGAGGAGCTGTTATGGGGAGCTGTCACATCAGGTGTCCTTCACAAGGAGCATGTGGTGGCTCGTGTTGGCTATTTCATCTTGCTCGCTCAAGGATCCACTTGACATCATTTTTATATGCTTGCTAATGTGACTTTGCTCTTCACTGATTACTCCATGAAGCTCCATGGTTAGCTAACTCCATTGGTTAGCTCCACATTAAATCCAAATATATGAGAGACACTGAGTGTTAAATGCTGTTTCTTTCCTGTTTGTTACCCTTAAACCCAGTTTTGTCCAGCTCTGCATTTTTTTTTAACCAGTGTCTGTCAAGTTGTGGGGTGTCCTGTGCCAGGTCTATAGAAGCCATCTCTGTTAATCCATGCCTGCGCTCCACTGTGTCCTATCTCTTCGCTTCTCAAGGCCACTGCTCCCATACCAGGCCTGTATTTCTCTACACTACATCATTGTTGTAGAGTTGTGAATATCTCATTCTGTGCAGTGCCTGCTCATCAGTGGTGTCTATATGAAACTTTGGTTGCAGCATGCTTGGGTAAACAAAAGTGGAACAAATTAGACATAGGCACCTGGTCAAGTAGAGAAATTGCTGTCACAGCTAAATCAAGGAACAGTTGCAGGCAGGTCAAGAGAAGTTCAGCCAAAGTTAGCCTTGGAAGTCTAGTGATGTTTTGGTATGGGTGTTACCTGCAGAGGTAACTTCTGTTGTCTGGTGGTGTTGGTTCTAGCTGACATCCCTGTGAATGTCAAGTTCCCTGAGGGAGAGACTGCATCACATATTTGCATCTGTAGCTTCAATTTGGACTTCCAGCATTCCTGATCGGTCTCCCTTCTGTTTCCAGTAAAGTGAGAGAGGAACAGCTTTGCATAATCAAAGGATTCCAGTTGGATTTGCTTGTCACATCTTCAGTTTTGTGCTATGTAATGTTGTTTGTTTCCTCCTCTTTTTCCTCTCTCCTTCTCCAACAATTATGTTACGGGTACAATCCCTTACATCCCTTTTGATTGCAGCTCCCAAAGCATGTGACAGCTCACAGGCACAACTCGCAGTGCAGAGGAAGCAGGAGGGAAGATGCAGGTGGTATGTTTGTGTTTTGTGAATATTGATTTGAGAATTGACGTGGTGACAGGAAGGAGATTTTCTGCTCATCTTCTGACACAGTGAGACAAGTTACGTAAGGTACAAGTCATGTTTACTTTGCTTTTCTCCCATCATCCCCATAGCTTTGACTTCTGTAGTGGAGTTTCCTCCTCACGTCTTTCTGCTGAGTACAGTGGAGGTCATACCAATGAGTATTGTTATATGTCTGGGAAGTGTGCTGGGAAATGAGGGTGCAGATGAATTTTGTCCCTGTATACTTATACCCTGTTCCTATGACAAGACCCTGAGTGAGATGATAGCTGTGGTGAGCAGGAAAAGAATAGGAATGCAGGACTTGCCTGTTATGAATACAGATTGCTGCCTGAACACTATAAATTGGTTCCTGCTATATGAGCACCTCTGTTATGCTCTGCTGGAACTCTTTTATTGACTGCTTGATTGCTGTGCATCTGCCAACAAAGAACGTGTTTATCTAGAACGGTCAGATACATGGTCACTGTGTGGTGTGTTAAGTGCTTCGTAAAGGTGGAGGGTGTCGGGTCATAAATAGCTTGTTAAGACATTGGGAAGTTGCTTTAATTGTATCCTCTTTGGCATTTTTGTGTTGATCACTCATTTTCAAATGAAACTTCTTAGCAAATATTTCAATGAAAACATGAGGTATCTGAGTTTTCAGGCTTTCC